AGATAAGCGAACTTCAGTAGTTTCTGAAAATCTGCACACACTATGCACTAAGTTGATAAGCACGGAGCAAGGGCCATAACTCTCTCAAAAAATAATTTATGGGACATATTTTCGAACTCAGTCTTCACAAGTATCTCTTAGATAAGCATGCAAACTTTCATTATTGTAACTTCAGTTGTTTCTGAGAAAGATTGTCCCCATTGCACACCCTGTTTACTAAGTTGAAAATCACGAAGCAAGGGCCGTTACTCTGTAAAATAATAATTCATCGGACCAGAAATTGACATACGGGTTGTTATAAAGAACATAGCGCCTGTCGTGCAGATTTCAGTCGATTGTGGGATTTGCGGGGCATGTGTACCGTCAACTGGGCATCTACAGTCAAGCAAGCTGGTATATATAAGGAAGATGAATAACATTAGGCTAAGGACACAACCCTGTTTCACACCAGTGTTTGGAAAATGTATATCCATTCATACATAAAAGCCATAAACATACTTTTACACAAATAACACACGCTATTATCTTTTCCCCTATGTGTATAATGTTTTTGCTTTTCCGTAGTTTTTTTTAACACCTCCACCATATATGGTAGTGAAAGCTATCTGACATACTTTATTGCAGTTAGTTTATGAAGCTAACTCGTGCACTCTAATATCGCTAAAACAACATCATCCTATATATTAAAAGCTCTAAAAGAACACACACCCAACACAACACCCCTAATTCAACACTCCCACATACGGCATCCCACATACACCATATCGACCAGTACAACATCACCCAGCAGTCATTAATAGCATTACAAAGTAAGAAGATCCGGGGTAGAATAGGTTTTCAGCAACCCATACTTGGGCGGGATCGGTGGTCAGGCACTAACGTGGATCGATGCTGATAATGTCAAGCAATGGATTGTCCGGTCCAGATTCGATTATTTACAGACCGTCGTCATATAGCTGGAATATTGCTGAGTGTGGCGTTAAACAACAAACAAACAAACAAACAAAGTAAAATAGTACTTTGAACCAGGCATATTCTGCTCCCTAAATTTCACCGGGGCAAAACTACACAAAACCGGGTACTCAAGGCATCGGACGTAAAATATAACCGATGCAAAAATAAGCGTCTTTATCTGCTCGTGTACTTGTACTATGAAGGTTCAGGGGTCGCGGAGTTGAGTGGATAGTGTCTTCTTGTCGTTGGCCTCACAGTGCGTGGAGGCTGAAAGGTTATACACCCATGTTTTCTGCGGTAGTCTGACATTTCAGGTCTTGTACAAGCGAAGTGTCGTATCACCTCTTTCACCCCCGGGCACTCGGCGCCGTAATTACAATAATTAATAACAAACAACAAACAAGCCTCTCCTAAGTAGGCATTTCTCAGCTCCTGCTATCCTATAAATAGGAAGTTTCGTATCCGAAAAGACAAATCGTTTTGTGGTTCTAACATAGATATTTGTACACAGGGTAGGAATATTCAGTTTAATAACTACAGTGAAAACCCATTAACCTGGACACTACTCCCCTCAATCCAGTTGTCCAGATTGACGTTACTATCACGAGTAAGATGTAATGTCACTTTAACAAGGAGATAAACCTGGTCTCGTCATTTTTAAAGATTTCGAAAGTACATTCTAACTTGAATTCGAAAAAATACTCTATTCTAGATTTATCAGTCAGAGGTTTTAAATCACAATAACTACTGCTTATCGAAACAGCTGATGTAACGGTCGACTAACACTTAGTCAATGAAAACATGTCTTTAAAATAATACAAAAATATAGAAAGAAACTTTCAACTTCTGTTGGGGATTCAAGCAAACTAGACTTGATTAGTTTGATCTAGACTTGCCTAGGCTTATAGTGAAAACAAATAACTAAAAAATATAAATACCACAGTCATGGTGCAAGACTAATTAACGTCTTGAAATAGTGATATTACAACATAAGGTTACAAAATGCAGGGATGGGGCTACTTCATTGACAATACATTTTGGGCAGACAGCACAATATAAATCGACAAATTAGAACGTGTATGTTAAATTTTGGGATGAAAATTGGAACGTTTCTTTTTCCGACTTTAATTTGATATCGTTCACTAAACAATGAGCGTTGGTGTAAACCCGTGATAGCATATCATTTTACTGTCTCTAAAGCTAAGTGTTCCCACATTCATGAGTATATAATCAATTGACAACACCCAACTGACAATATAACCCGAACACTGAAGGGCAATCGCAAGTCATCTCATCTGACCGCTTCGCTACATGAGATAATCGGAGTTACTTCCCTTTGAATAGACGGGCCTATTTAAGTCTCTGTCATATTTTCTTTTCACACCAGCCAGCTGCGATTATCAGTCTCGGTCCAGCTCGCACTTTTTGCCGTTTCATATGGATTTAATCATTTATTTGTTATCTCATTACTGGCATATATAAGAACGACGTACGCATGTACTTCTTTGTGGATGTGAACACAGTAAGAGAGTAATTATACAATTGAGTCTAAGCTAGTCATAATTGAAACGCACGATAAAACTTGGTTTGAAACGCGTGTGCCAGCTCAGTAACGGAATGTTCTTCAGACATACAGGGTGAGTTTGTGATGAGTCCGGTGGACCGATTTCGCAATAGCTGTGCGTGAGTTTGACGCCGTTCTTTTGTACCATATGTAAAATCGCGGGAAGACAGAACTCAGAAATATGACATCTTAGTGTGGATTATTGGACAGGTCGTTGAGTCAGAAAGACAAGAGCATGCAGCGTAGCTATTGCTGACGAATTCCACTATTATTTCAAATGTAACGCCTTTGTAAAGTCTAGATCTAAATATATTGCATCTACTCATGAACGACATAACCTGTATTACAGAGTGCAAGAAAATTATGTGCACTAGAAATGTTGCCAAGTTTACAAAATGCCTAAAAGTGTCGCAATTCTACATCTTACTGTGCGAACTAAATGTAAAACGTAACCTCATCATGTTATTTATTTTTAGACCTATGCTTTTGTACCACTGTCGGTGGTGATTTCAGAATATAGAATTGAAAAGGAGAGCTGGTGACGGTTCAGTGAGTTTGCTTCAATAACTTGAGAATGTCACGAATAATCAAAGCATCAACGGACGGACAATAGCGACAAAAAACAACTCGTGTTTGTTTTGGGAAAATTGCGACCATTTCTTCATGTTTTGTTTGGTTCAGTAATATTGATATAAATCAGTTGTTAAGGACATGCAGCTGTATCACATCAGGTCAGGGTAAAAAGTTACAGTCGCAACATATTTCCCTTTCGGGACAAACCAATTCGTAGTTAAATCATCTTCCCGAGGCAAGGGAGTTAACTGACTTTAAAAGTCCAGTTTCCACCCTTGCCGAAATGGGCTGTACTTCCTGGACTCGACTGTAGCGCCACCAGTGGCTATTACGAGTTATGTCACTTCTATGCCTCTCCTATGGACACATCAAATTTTATCCCTCGTATCACTTGCATTTGCTTCAAACAAAATGGTGGCGCCCAGTCAAGACGATCTGATCGATAATCAAGATCTATATTGTGATAAAACGGGTCTTACATCGCGAAGTGCATCAGATCACGTGAGCACCTTGATTAAAAACATGGAAACATTTGGAAAATGTGTGTTGACAACGAGTTGGCGGTGCACATGCTTTGTAAATACTGCAATCGACCGAAATCTGCATGACAGTTTACGAACCGGATTTCGATTTCGTTGCGCGATTGTGATTGGACTATGCATAGACTCGTTAGTCCAGCCAAAACGTAACCCCATAATACCAGCCTAGTTCGGCAAGGGTGGAACTTTTATAGTCAGTTAACTCACATGCCTCGGGCAGATGTATTTATAGACCTCGCATTTTTAAACAGACAAAGAATTGTTTCGTCTATTGAGACATACAGACACAAAGTCAACCAGGCTAGCGTATCAGTTGTTATTAGATACACGGTTAGGGTAGGGGAGTGTGATTTGTAAACGAGAATGCGGCTGAATTATTTTAATAATAACCCTATTGAACTTGTAATTCATTTTTTTCCTCATGATAACATTATGGTGTAAGAAAAGAAAAAGTAAAAATGCTCGTTTTCAAGCTATAGCTCGTATTCCCACAAACGCTTAAAGCTTATCGGCGTCATTGTATAGAAACAGACCAGCCGTGTTTTACACTCTGCACAATAGTTGATATGCTTCATGAATATGTGAAATTAATAGCGTCCCTGTATATCAATCTTTCACATTTGGGGTAACTCACACATGCGTTTTTGAAAATAGTCGTATTGGTGTATGTGCACAAACACGAACAATATATTCACCCGCCCGACAAGTTCAACATGGTAAATATTTGTGCAGTGTCATTATAGGTACGCCCTGTATACATGCACAGTATAATGTAGTTGTACAGAAAGTAGCATTAGCATTGCCAATTAAAGTATCGCATATTTTATCACCCGTTATTGAGTCACGTGTGCAGGCACTCATCGGTTCTGTACCGAGAAAGGTACTGATTGGCTTTCATCGTTTAACACATACTCTTAAGTAATTGAAATAATATGAATGTAACTAGAACTTAAACTATATAATCACTTTATTTTATCACTTACTCAATGTTTTATTGCGAGTGGTTTCTTTGAAGAGGATAGATATAAGAAGATCTGCAATACATGTCACACGTTTGCAGAGAGACAGAAATATCTGTTGATGTGACACCCATCGAATGTTCAGGGGTACCGGAATTACGGTACGGTCTAAAATACACTATAGCGATACAGTGGGGACAACACAAAACTCTATCAAATCACTTTAACCTACCCCTGAGCGACACTGTCATTCTGCCTGTTCGGTTTCAAGAGAGACCATATACCGATTTGGTCTGTGGTTTCAAATACAGTTTTAGAAAGTCAATACTACACTATTTTGTGTGGATTTCGATTGAACGATACGTCGGTAATATTTCGGTAATATGAAAAACATCGGAATTGAAAACTCACGTGTTTAATCAAGGGTGTTGCTCTGGCCGCGTCATGCCAAAAAAAGTTAAACGATGGACCGGCCGGCTGGGAGTTTGAGTTTGTGTGGGTGTTCATAAACGCCCTCTTGACATCTACGTGGGGTAGCACTAACTCTGGACAAGTACAAGCAGCCACACTTGTGACACACACGTGCATGCACGTCGCTCGACAAGTGAACCCCATGTACCACTGGGCAGACGCGAATAGCTACCGGAAGTGCTAGGATGTTTCTACTTTGTTGTATGAAAATGTCATAAATTAGTCATGCATTGTGTGACAGGAAGTACAGAAATAATCTGTCTATTACGTGGAACATCGCCTGGTGGAAAGTACAGAAATAATTATTTATCCTCGACTAATCAACCATATTATTCTTCGCCGTGTACTGCAATATTTCCACTATACGACTTTGGGGACATCAGGCAAGGTCACCGGACCCTGTTAGTCCTGTCCCCATTAATTTAGAACTCCTTATTCCGGACCTCGTGGATATAGAACTCCTTATTCCGGACCTCGTGGATATAGAACTCCTTATTCCGGACCTCGTGGATATAGAACTCCTTATTCCGGACCTCGTGGATATAGAACTCCTTATTCCGGGCCCCGTTAATCTAGAACTCCTTATTCCAGGCCACATTAATCTAGACCTCCTTATTCCGGACCTCGTTAATCTAGACCTCCTTATTCCGGATCTCGTTCATATAGAACTTTTTATTCCGGATCCCGTTAGTCCGGATCCCGGTAATCGCTCACAGCGCCAGCGTACATAAACTAAGATAAGACCAGATACGTTTTATTTTTCGAGGGAAACGTGTTTAAACCATTACATTGTCATGAATTGTTTTGTAGATAGTGTTTCTGGTGCTAAACATGTGTTGTTTTTTGTAAGCTGAAATATTGGATCAGAAAACTGAACGCGAACAAACCAGGTTACTGTGTACAGTTACATAAGAGGACCAGACATATGTGCTTGGCCTTGGAGTCACATATGGTAATAATAAAGTACAGTTAAACATAACCCATTTGTCAATACATGTCGAACAATATGGCAAACAAAACTGGCGACATCCTACGAAGCCACCAGTCCCATTGAAGTATACAACATCAAACGTGACATGGAATTAGTCAGAGGCAAGGTGAATAGTTCCGGTGCATAGTTCCGTGGTGAAGGTGGATGGCGATATGTGTTGTGAATTCACTGGATTGCTCTTTAGTATGCATAACTGCACATCTTACTGTATAAACTAAATACTACAGCCTTGGGGTAAAAATATTTGCTTTCGTTAAATGTATGGTAATATTTTGACCTTACTATGAGAAAATTATGTTTCAGCTGACAAAGCTTGAGACGTGTAATTGTGATAGTCTGAAAAATTCAGGTGATTCTTAAGCTGGGTTAACTTCAAATGTGCCTTTGCGTTTGTGTAGAGGTGTAGTGATTTGAAGTGAATCTGTGATTCACAGAATCAAAAATGTCATGCGGCACAAAATGTGTTCTATCTTACCAACAGCCGGAAGGCAGAATTCCTATTAAAATAATAATATACCATTTTGGTAACAATACACAAACGTAAATTTCCGTTATTTAAACTGAAGGCCAAAAGAAATTTTACCACTTACAAAATTGAAATTGCAAAAATTTAAAAGCACAAGTTCAAACTAAAACACATCGTCCAAACACAACAATGCTCCATGCAGAAAGTGATACACGTCCACGGCACGTTTTTGTTGTTGTTTTTTTTTGTAGAAAAAGGGAAAAACAGGTGCTGCCTGGGCTGCTACACATGCAGTAAGGATATATATGTATATATGATACGGACGGCATGTCACACATTCAAAAACTAATACACAAAAACACCACGGAAATGACACGACTGACACCGGAACAACGCGAACGGGTCAAGGGGATGATATAGGTGAAGTATAACCAATGCCCACAGTGCTGGAACTTTTGACTGCCCCCGTAACTAACCTGATGCATCGTTAAAGACACACCAGAGAGACATCAGACAGACCAAGAACAGGCATACCCAGAGTAACTACGCCAAATGAAGACCGGTACTTGCATACTTTGCATCTCCGGAATCGATTCTTGACAGTGACGTCATCAGCGACAAATGCCTTAGGGCATATAGTTTGTCGACAGACAGGGGCCAGGTGACTCGTTGGCAGTTACGTGACTGGCAGAACCTTGTCTTCACTGATGAAAGCCGGTTCTGTCTGTTCAGAGTTGTTGGAAGACAGCGGGTTTACCGCCGAAGGAGATAACGAACGGCGACGTATTGCGTTCAGGAGGTCGCGCCGCGTGGTGGAGGGGCTGTAATGATGTGAGGAGGAATTCGTGGGCAGGAGAGAACACCACTGGTCATCGTTACTTGAATGACATTCTTCGTCCGATTGTCCAGACATTTCTACAACAGCTGCGACTCGGTGTCCTGTATCAGCATGACCACGCCAGAACTTCAACGTGTTGCCGTGGCATGCACGCTCCCCAAACATGTCCCCGATAGAACACCTCTGGGATGCCATGGACCGTCGTGCGTCGTGTTAGACAGCGACCACATCTTCAACCGACAAAAACGTGACGTCATCAGACGACTGACCGTTCCTGTGCGTCGGAAAGCTTTTGCGTGTCTTGTAGAAGTGGGTGGTCGTCCACGCTATTAACGTGACGTGCCAATGAACTTGAGAGATTTTAGATGTGTGCCCTTTGTCTATTTCGTTGAAAGCTTGTATTTGCTACCCCACCTCAATTCGGGCAACTGTCATGCCGAGATCGGATGCTGTATGACTGTCATTTTATATGTTGATTTCGCTGTTGATTTTCAATATATTTTACGTCATGCATCTATGGATTTGAACTAGAATGATTAGCACTTAGTTCTCGCTACTGCTAAACAAAGGTCTGAGGACATGCCATTTGGGGTCACGTCAGAACGACCTTTCATCCGATCAGAGTGTCGCTTACCAGATCATGAAAGTGACAGTCGGAATGTGCTTTCTAATCATGCAACCTCGAACGACAGTTACGGCCTGTACGACTGATTCCGTCAAAGTTATTGTCTATCTCTCGCTTCCGTTAGAGAAACATTTGAACGGAAGAGGCGTTGCACAGTACGTGGGAAGCACAGCCATGCAACCGCAACCATATATAAGACATTCCGGAATGTTCGTTTGTTCAGTTTTCAAAATTTAATCGAGAACTGTGTCAACATATTTTTCAAGCGTAGTCTGAAATGGAAGTCGCCAGGTTGAAACGAGTGCCGTAAAGCTCGAGAAAGCTGCTTTCTCATTGGCTGATGTCGACTTCTTGTCAGTCGTTTCTGTGGGAGGTCAAGGTTCGAGAAAGGTTATTCTGACATGATCCGTAATGGGATGTCCTCAGATCTTTGTTTAGCGGCAGCGAGAACTTAGATCTGACTTTAATGAGATTGAAAATTGTTAAAACAAACACAAGGAAAAGAAACTACATTTAAGTACATTAGGTAATGTACAATTTAAGTCATTTCATGTTAAGGTCAAAGGAGTCCTCGGACTTAATATGAAATATGTATCTGCCCATCTTCGCGGTGGTTTCATAGATTAGTTATTTATTCAGTTGAGTATACGGATATAGTAGCCCGAATGACTAAGTCATAGGCATTAGAACCTCTTTACAATTTACATGGACAACACTACACGTATTTACTAACACTGCTACTGTATAACAGTATGTTCCACACACTAGCTTCCACCCTTTGATGATTTACGAACTGCAACATGTATGTAAATAATCTGGCGCGATTTTTATATATAACGACCACGCTTATGAGATATATTTTCACTTGATAGCATCTGTATAAGTTGGGTCTTTCCAACGTCACATATGTGACACAACCTGTCAAACACGTTTCAGTTCGCTATGGAAATTTCCCATCCCCGAATAAAGCCTTCCCATGGAGGTTTTGACTCTTCAAAAATGATCCGCTAGTACAACATTGGGATCAGCCGCTTAACACTCACTAAATCAAATTTAAAAACTTTAATTGTGACTCCATGGCCGGTTTAGGGCCTGTTTGCGTCAGTTCGACACAGCAGGGAGTGCATGTAAAATTCTAAACAATCCGTAGCGTTTGTATGTCTGATCTCAGTGTTCGACTCAGTGACGCATGACAGCAAGGTGGATAGTTATGTAATTGCATGTAATGTTTGGAGAAGCATAACATACAAATGAAGTAATCTGAGGTATGTTTACTGTTAGACATGCGTATATATGTAGAACACTGATTTTAGAAGTACCTGATGCTAAGAGCCTAAACAAACCATTTGTCGTCTGGAATTTCACGGAGCTGTGTTCCTGAGACCAGGGTACCATTAAACAAGAATAAAGCAATAATTGAAAACGTGGTAAAATTCCACAGTTTTATTACTATCAGCTAATTGTATCAATAGACGACAATATGAAGGATAAATAACTCAATGTGCGCTGAAATGAGCAAATATACAAGCTGATTAGCTGAGCAACTGTATAACAGTTATAAAAAGGAGAATAGTTAAATCTTTGACACCTTGACAAGATAATTGGCAAGATGCATAGACAGCCAATTAAGTCGGCTGCGACCAATTAACACCTGAGAGTTAATTAACTCAACACTCTAATGTGTGAATAACCTCGACTGGGTTAAATAGCGGGAAATAAACACAGAGGGCCTATCCCTACAATAAGTCTTTTGAACAATAAAATAGACGAAAAACGCCTTCATAGCAAACTTTTTGACTGAAGACTGCTAAGGTAACACTAGACTTCACAAAAATACAAGGGTCTTGACCTACGGAGTATCTAGACTCATTATCATTAAGAAAGGTACTTGACCTACGGAGTATCTAGACTCATTATCATTAAGAAAGGTACTTGACCTACGGAGTATCTAGACTCATTATCATTAAGAAAGGTACTTGACCAAAAGAGTAACTTGACTCCCAATAGCAAATAGATACTTGACCTAAACTAGATAATCACGGGAAGGTTGGTTATCCGCGGAATACCAGAAAAATGGGGACCGAAATATGAAAGCCTAGCTATTACGTTTAGCTCAATATCACCAGAGTAAGTCAGGGCCAGAGAAATAAAATTGCCCCATAACCACTTACTAACGAAACGTAAGTTTTGACTTGACCACG